TGCCTCGGTACACGATCAGTGCCTCTCTGTGCCTCGGTACACGATCAGTGCCTCGGTACACGATCAGTGCCTCTCTGTGCCTCGGTACACGATCAGTGCCTCTCTGTGCCTTGGTACACAGTCAGTGTCTGTCTTCCTCGGTACGTGGTCATTGACTGTCTGTGCTTCCATACATAGTCATTGCCTCCGTACGTGATCAGGGTCTTCGGAAAGTGGTCAGTGCCTGTCCGTGCCTCTGTACACTGTGTTTATCAACACTAATAAACACATACACCACATGGATCATACATTCTCACAATTGTCCTGTTTTTATCACTTTAACATAGTATTTTATATAGTTTGCTTTGTGGCTTGAAAGAAACAATGTTTTTCTATGAAAGTACTGTCTGGGATCAGAGTGGAGGCTCACTGCACTGAAATAAATGTCACCAGTGTTTACACTCTCTATGATAAATCGACATGGCTGAGGTTTCTTTTACATCAGGGGTGGGGAACCTGTTCCATGGAGGGCCGGTGTGGGTGCAGGTTTTTGGGATGACCTCTCAATCAGCCAGTAACTGTGGGTCCCCAGGACTGGAGTTGAGAACCTCTGCTTTGTTACTGGCTTATTGAGAGGTCATCCCAAAGACCCGCATCCACAGCGGCTCTCCATGGGTCAGGTTTCCCACCCCTGTTCTACATGAACAGAACTTCTGTGTAGTAGAAGCTTCCAGAGTGTCCTGCTTGCGCTCCTGCTGTCCTTGTTCGTCTCTCCTTTATTTTAAACCCACTAATTTAGTCGTGGCCGCTAACAGACTTGTACCGGAATGAAGAGACCATCCATGTACTGGGGGAGGGACACATCCAGAGCCCCCGCTACCCCAATGGCTACCCCCGCAACGTGCTGCTCTCCTGGAAGCTAATCTCGCAGGAAAACTCTCGCATCCAGCTGGATTTCGACCGCCACTTCGGCCTGGAGGACGCGGAGAATGACGTGTGCAGGTGAGGGGCTGGGGTGGGTGGGGAGTTAGAAAACTCCGTGGTGATGATTCCACACAGCAGATAGACTTACATCCTCATATACAGTCATGGATTGTGGGTTTGTTGACATTATTCCAATTGAATTTTGCCTCAAGGAGATTGAGGATCATTATGGACAGAAAAACGGAGAGAGAGACAGAGACACTCTCTGTTGTCAGCCCCCTCAGCCCCACTGAACCTGAAAAGTATTTTTCCTTTAGAAAGCTCTCCTTGGGTGGGTGGTCCAATTTATCACTGGCCAATCAGGTGCCCCTTCCAGGCCACATGGAGGGGAGGTTGGGAAACCTCCTGGCATGTTGAAGTGACCCTGGGAACCAATCTGGCCCACGTTGTACATCAATTTAGGTGGCATCTTCTACAAGCAGCAGACATGTAACCAGTAGGTCATAGGGTCAAAAACCCAGGGCAGGTGCTGCTGCTGCTGCAATGAGGGGCCATTTCCTACATCCCCGGGTGTCTTGCAGTCCTGCTCACGTCGCTTTTCCAGAAGCTGTAACAGAAGGATATTTTCGTGAGCTGACTGAGCGATTACAGGAGAGTGGGCACTTCTCCAGCAGCTTGTGCAGGAGGTCTCTACCAATCCCTCACAGGTATGACTTTGTGGAGGTGGAAGACGTATCGGAGACCAGCACCATCATCTGGGGACGGTGGTGCGGGCAGAAAGAGACCCCCCCGAGGATTACCTCCAACACCAACACTGTCAAGGTCACCTTCAAGTCAGACGACTACTTTGTGGTGAAGCCTGGTTTCAAACTCTACTACTCTCTGGTGGTAAGGGTCCGAGTTTGCTCATTCGTAACTTATTGGAACATTCCGGTAGTGACTCTTTCCCATCGTCCTTACAAACGGCCCAGCTGGGGACAGGAACATGTAATAAATCCCTCTCGGAAACAGTGAAGGGGCCATGACACAATGTCCTAGTGGCATTTTAAGGGATCTGATTTGATCTGTAGAGGCTTCTGAAATAATAGTGTGACAGAGCAGCAGTTTGGCCCCTGATCCAGCCCGCCTGATGGCTGCCTTGTGACACGGGCGTCCGCGTCCTACTCCGCGTCCGACTCCGCGTCCGACTCCGCGTCACCGGACGGCCCGCAGGCCAGTGGAGTGTAATCAAATTGCGGTGGTCACACGACACGTTTGCACAGCACATGGTCAGCACCCCTTCCCCCACTTTTCCATGAGTCATCCGGCCCTCCCAATGACAGATGCACAGTCCGTTTCCGAAGTGGCCCGTCAGAGCAGCCGGGCAGGGCACTTCTGAGGTCACGGCTTCCCTTTGTCCCCCCTGCGTCTCGCTGGCTGATCCTGAAATCCCCCCCCACCCCGTAACCCAGCATGCAGAGGGTGTGCGACGGCAAGGTGGGATCACGGTGGGAATGGCGTGCGTCAGGAAGGTCGTGGCATGCGGCGTGGCCCACGGGGTGATTTCTTCCTCAGCGTCACACGCCTACACAGTGTGCGGCCTTACAGACGACGGTGTTCCACGCAGCCTGTCATGCGTTACCTGAAAGCTGGAATTTGCTGGATATTTAGATGTAAAACATCCTCTTATCCCCAATCAGACAGGTAAAGGAGCCCTTTAAGTCAAAACCAACTTCTAGGGGAGGGGGGGGGCTCAGGTGACCCCGTGGGGGCTGTATAACTTCGCCCTCACTCACAATGAGGAGCATGATTTGCAAACGATTGAGTGATGAAAGCGATATGGGGGGGAAACATTAATGTTTTTGCCTGTCCTGCCAGTAACCCGGATTTTCCCACCCCTGAGTTGGTCGGTGGGGGGGTGGGGGGGAACAACCAGGCATGAGCTGCTGCCAGGGGCTTCGGTCAGCGAGGACAGGAGTCAGGGCGGGGTCCCGCCAGCCCCCAGCAAGCTGGGCGTGTGGCCATGCGTCACCATCTCTGGGAAACCAGTTAAACAAACTAGAATCTATGGGCCTGCGTAATGTCGACCAGCTGCTCGCGACATTGAATCATACGAGGAGGAGGAGGAGGAGGAGGAGGTCCCCCCTGCCCTGTACCGCTGGCCGGGCGCCGGCGGTCTTTCACATTATTCTTCATCGAGGCTGAAGCTGTAATTACCTTAATTAGCTTCCCCGTGCTATGAGCACTCAGGTGTCCTTTCCCGCAGAATATGTGATTATGTTCTGTTATGCGCAGCTTATTGCCAAAACACAGGAAGTGCTTGAGGATGACGGGTACAGAGCAGAGGCGTCCACGACAGCATGGTTAAATAAGCAGTTAACTTCCCATCATGCTTAGGGCCTCAGGATGGCCAAGCTGGCCAGTCCTTTAGGGTAGCAGGACCATCTATGACCAAGACAGCAGACGTCTCAGGAGTGGCGGCTAAGGTGACATTAGCCTGGCAGACGACATGTTGGCGTCGTTGGCAGCCGTGGACGTGAAGACGGGTTCCCGAACCGCGATGCCATCAGTCAAGACTCTTGAGCATGGAAACCACTGACTGAAAGCATCAGTCTAGGCACTATGAGGAAATGCCATCATATAGAACTTCAGGAAGTTTGCAGAGAGGATATTATGGACAGGATGCAGCACATAAACACTTAAACGTCACAGCTGGGCCTCTGTTGAGCAGCGGAGAGTCACATGGGCAGACGAGTCACCCTTTATTGTGTATGTGTGTGGCTCACATCAGGAGAGGCCTCCGGGTTTGGCTGCTCTCTCCCACGAAGGGTTCTTCTAGCTCTGATAGGGTGGGTAAGTTTGCTCCCCCTCTGTCTATCAGGCAAAGACACTAATAAATAACGTAGAGTCACTCAGAGGGACCATGCCCACACTGTAATAGTGTCCTCTTCCATGGTGACAACGTTCTCGTCTATAGGGACACCAGTGTCACCATTACAGTGAATGATGGGACACGTAGAGACACCTGTTATGGGCCACATAGCGGCATCACTAAGGCTGTGTTTCACCATTTTAATCATAGAGGTACAATGACACCAGCAGGTCACTGTGCTCAGCTACGCCATCTCACCCCTTAGGATGGTGCTCCAGCCTCAGCATCTGAGAGGAACTGGGAGGCCGTCACCTTCTCCATCTCCGTAAGTCACCTGTTACTCCCATCAAGGCTGCTTTGCCCCATGTCCTGAAAACACACTTAAAAATCCATCGAGCGCATTTGATGCTTTGGTCATTGGGAAATCTTATATACCCTGTACTATACCAAGAGGAGTGACCTATACCTTCCACAGTGCAGTTTCTCTGAGCGGCCCTGCCATTGACATTCCTGTCTGTATCCCTGCGGTTTGTCCTAGTAATGACCCCCTGCCTTCCGCACAGGGCCCGTCGACACCCCCCACCGCCGTTACGGATGGCCCGCTGAACGCCGTCGCCGCCCTGGACCAGACGGTCGCCTCCTTCGACACGGTGGAGGAGCTGCTGAAGCACCTGAACCCTGAGTCCTGGCAGGATGATATGGATGGCATCTACTGGGAGGCGGGCCACTACCGGCCACGGGCCTATCACCACGAGCGCAGGCACAAAGGTGACGCCCCCTGTGGGCCAACCCTCCAATCCTGATCTGACAAGACACCCCCCACCCTGCACTCAGCCCAAGACAGTGGCCACAAAACACTGTGGAGTTTTAACAAGAGAAGCAGCCAGAGATTGAGATAATAACTGCAGTGTTTATGTTATATACTGATGCTTTTTTATTATCCACAGTCAATTATAAGTGCTAATAAATTTATAAGGAAGTGTCCAGGCGGGACAGAGAAGTGGAACCACGTGACTGAGACTTGGCAGCAGGGGAAGGCTTTGTTTACAGAACCGGCCCCCTTCAAGGTGGGAGGGGACGGAGACGGGGGGGGGGAGACAGGGCAGGGTTGCGGCCAGCACTCAGCAAACTGAAACACAGAAGCAAGGATTATGATAATAATACTTTAGTGAGTAAGAAATTCTCTTTTTGCCTGCCCCCTCCTTGACAGACAGACACTGATATAGAGAGCAAGCTTGGTAGCAAAGTGCAGCCACCCTCCACATGGAGCTGGGGGTTAAGGACCTTGCTGAAGAGCCCATGGACATGTGACTGTTCTCCCGAGGCCAGAGCTCGAACCGGCAACCTTCCAATCACGGGCACAGAGGCTTAGTCCATTGAGCCACATGCTGCACCCCAGGACTAGAGAATGGAGAAACTGGGATGGAAGAGAGACAGCCACGTACAGGGTGCTGAGAACCAGGGCGATGTGGGGATGTCGCTTTGGAATCTCACAGCAGTGTCACAGCTGGGACTCGCCGGATCTCCTCAGAAGGAACCGTAAGCCCGGCTCGTAACGCCAAGCTCCCTCAGCACTTCAGGGAATCCTGAGGAGCAGAAGCTGTGTTGATTCTTTGCCGAGCGAAAACAAAAGCACCGCGAGGGAGTCTGCTGAGCTCGCCTTCCCGGCTCACCCCCAATCCGCCATTCCCCCAACCCCCGGCATGGCGGCCAATGAGACCACAGCTTTCTCAGCAAATATTTGCCCTTGGAATACACTGTTGGTGAGTTCCACAGTCAACAGGAAACTACAGACAATCGACCATCACCCAGCTCTCCCATGCAGATGCTGACGGATATCATTGTGGATGGAGAAGTCCTTCTAAATGCTGTTTCAGAGAGATGAGGAGATCAGTGACCCTCCGCGATAACAAGGTCCTGACCTCCCTGGTCCACCAGACGTGGGCCCCCAGTCACAGGTGTGGGGGAGGTGTATCGGGATTATACCAGTCGCCTGGAACCAGGTCATACATTTCTGAAAGTGACTAATTCATGTCCCACAGAAGAAAACATCACAGGTACCTTCAGAGAAAAAACAAAGGTCAGAAATGTATGACCAGAAAGTGACCCTGCCTGTGAAAACAGTGAAGCCCACCTTGCATTACAGCTGTCTTGGGGGGGGGGGGGGGGGATCAGGGCACTTGGCTAAATAGCTGGTAAAATATCAACTTGTATAAAAGCATATAAAAACAGAGTGACTGAGCTGGTCATGTGTCTCCTGCCCCCACAGTCGACCTGGACCGGCTGAACGAGGACGTGAAGCGGTACAGCTGCACCCCCCGGAACCTCTCCGTGAACCTGCGGGAGGAGCTGCGTGTCACCAGCGCCGTCTTCTTCCCGCGCTGCCTGCTGGTGCTGCGCTGTGGCGGGAACTGCGCCTGCGGCACCTCCGGCTGGAACAGCTGCAGCTGCAGCCCCTCCAAGACCTCAGACAAGCTGTACGAGGTGCGGCCGCCACCACTCGCAGCGCCCCCTAGTGACGGGAGCTCATTACTTAGTATTGCAGAGCTCAGTAGAGGCAGGGAAATACCCAGAAGCCACCCTTACGGCTCTCTGCCAGAAACACCCACAGCCATGTTGTCGTCGTGGTGTAATGAGCGCAACTCAGACTTCGATCACTTTGAGCATTCATGCCCCCCCCCTCGCAGACTCCCTCCCAGCTCGTTATCCAAACACAGCTCCTTTAAACCTCCCACTGCAAACTGTAAAGACCTGGGGGCCCAGAATCAACAGCTTCATGCAGGCTTACTCAACGCTGACACTTCCATGTGAACCTGAACACAAGACAAGACTCTTGCCAGATAACCAGTATCTTCTACATCTTACTGGTGAGGAAAGGTGAAGCAGCACCTCCCAACCCAGCAGTAACTGCTGAAATTATATTTTGACACTAATGGTGAACAGGTGGAATTAAACACCTTTCTGCCCTTTATAATGTCACATACGTCAAACTCATATCCCATGAGGTCTGTCTCTGCTGCAGCCGACACGCGTTTCAGGGCACCGCCGCACTGTATGGGACATGCCGCTGCAGCCGACACGCGTTTCAGGGCACCGCCGCACTGTATGGGACATGCCACTGCAGCTGCAGTATACTAACCAGATCCGCTTGTTGTACCCTTCACCTTTGACCCTCCCCCCAGGTGCTGAAGTTCTCCCCGGAACCCAGCTTCTTCCGGAAACGAACCCGAGCCCAGTGGGTCCTGGAGGAGATCCACCTCCAGCACCACGAGCAGTGCGACTGCGTCTGCCACTCCCGGCCGCCCCGGTGAGCAGGGCATGCTGGGAGTCTCCCCCACAGCAGACTGTCACAGCGCCCTCTGCCCATGCAGATCGCTTCTCTCGGGCTGTCTGACGCGGGCAGCGTCTCCCGCGGGTCCCCTGAGAGCAGTGTGCCGCTTTGTAACCTCTGTCACGTGCGTGTCTGAACGCTTCCCGGATAAACGAATGCATAGTCTGTCCGAGCGATCGAACTCTAAGACAATAAACTCTCGCCGAAAGCGTCTCACGATTAATACGCTGCCGCTGGGAAGCAGTAATATTTATTTCATTACTTTGGCATTCTGCAGTAGTAAATTACACTTCCTGCGTGTGTGTCTGTGCGTGCGTGTGTGTGTGCGTGTGCATGTCTGTCTTCTCAGGTAGGACCCTCACCGCCTGTGTGCTGGGTCGAGCCCCCCGCCCCCCGCTCCGGCGCTCGCCTCACACATCAAAGGCGAGCTCATTAGAGGTGCCGTGTTTCTCACAAACGTTCAGCATCCTAAGCAGATTCCTAGTGAAACATTTCCTCATACAGCATTTGGATTCGCTTGACTCTGAATATTAATACCGACGCCATAAAATATTCAAACTCTAAGACGTCCACTTATTTATTGTCAGTTTTTCCTCTTCACTGCCACTTATCCAGGGCCTCCACATTTTACAGTTTGCTACCAGATATTTCTTTTATATGAAGTAGTTGATATTTCTATTAAACATTTTCCAAAACCTCAAAACAAAGTGTTGTTTCCTGGAAGGATTTTGCCGGTGGTGCCCTAATCGACCTTCCCTGAGCTTTGTTTGGGTTATGAGTCGACTATTTATCTAGATTCACAGTGACCTGATATTAACGATCCATTCGTAGGAAAAAATGGAGCCGCTCATTGGTGACCCAGAAAATGATGTTGCAATTAAAGGTTCAGGGGTAGAAAAAGAGCAGTGAGGAAACTGAGGGGAGAGAGCTGGATGCCCCCCCCTCACACCCAAACCATGACCCAGCACCTGCCTGCCAGTCAGTGTTAGCCTGCGTTTGACTGGGAACTGGGGTGTCAGGCCTCAGGCTGTTACTAGTTGTGCACCTCCGGTTTTTATGGGACGAGTGGTCATTAACACTGCGTGCCTTACATTGAGCGGGGAGGTCTGCTGCTAATTGGTAAGAGTGTTAATAATGATTAATGGTGTAGCTGGGAAAAAGAAGAACTCAGCCTATGTTAATCATGAAAGAGAATAAGAGATAAGAGATGCCTCACTCTACCTCCCCTCCCTCTTCAGCTCAGCTGGCTCCTCCCAAGCCCTACAGTTCGGTTAGTCCGTTAAGGTTAGCTGGCCCTCACTGCTTCTTCCCCCCCCCCTCTCTCTGTCTGTGCTAACTCTCTTTGGCCCACTCCTGCAAACATGGACCCTGGGTAACCCAGAGAGATGTGTACAACCAGCACGGTAAACAGAAGAGGAACATGAAATATGTAATATGCCATCTTATATGTCGAGAGGCAGCTGGCTCTCTTGCGACTTGCGCATGAACAGATGGTATTTCCAAGCCATAAGGGACAAAACGCAGCCCTTATGGTTATATACGGCGCCTATGTACGTGTCGTACTGTTTCTGTCCATAAGAGCCCTGGGCAGATGGGCCTTTGACAGCCTCTTCCCTGCCTCGGAAGTTACCTTTCTTTGACAGCCTCTTCCCTGCCTCGGAAGTTACCTTTCTTTGACAGCCTCTTCCCTGCCTCGGAAGTTACCTTTCTTTGACAGAAGCTCAGACACACAGGCGTCTGTTACTTTCCTTTAGAGGCATTTTCATCTTTGGTTTTCCTCTTTCCCTGAAAATGGGATCCTTCGCTTTGCCCACATATGTAATACAGGCAGTTCTAAATGCCCATTTTTTGTCTCAGCCACCAGGAAAAATAGTCTTTCTAAAACCGTTTAGCAACTTTTCACATACATTTTGGATTTCCATGTACATTTCGTTCCTCTGGCGTGGCAGACATTACAGTGGGGCTCCCTCCTCCTCTCTGCAGATTTACTTATGGGGGGGGGGGGGTGTAACGTCCTGTATTTCTTCAGGAGGCCGAGTCCCCCTAAGGGTTAAATCATAGAGTTGACCCCTGATACTTAACTGCTAATAAAAATGAGCCCTGCGTCCTGCGTGTTGTGTCTAAAATATGTCCACATTTTAGACACGTAGGACATGTCATTTAAGGACTCCTGTCATTTTAGACACATAGGACATGTCATTTAGGGACTCCTGTCATTTTAGACATATAGGACATGTCATCTGGGGACTCCTGTCATTTTAGACACATAGGACATGTCATCTAGGGACTCCTGTCATTTTAGACACATAGGACATGTCATCTGGGGACT